TTAAGACAAAAGCATTTAAAGCAAAGTTGGTATCATTAGCATGGCAAGTCCTTTTAATTTACTTCAGGTGAGGACAGATGATGTCATCGTCTTTCAGGGCAGCTGCAGCATCACTCCAGTTGCTGTGAATTGGGTGTAATTACCAACTAAAACTGGAATGGGAGTCTCACAGCTAAGACAATTCAGAACTTTGTTCTGCCTGACTCTACCTCCCAAATAGATCTCTTAGCTACCCTTTTTTATCTCCATTACCTCTACCTTTATTGTTCTTAAACTAGAATAATCATCAGAATTACCTAGAGGGCTTGTTTTTTTTTTTTTTTTTTTTTTTTTTTATCTTTTTTCCGTGTCCGGCAACGGATCGCAACCCTCAGTGTTGCCCCCATACCGGACCGGGGACCGGCAACGGGATCACAAGCCTCGGTGTTGCTCCCGTGCCTCGCTCAGCCAGTGAGCGGGAGCCGGTCTGCATGTGGGATCCGAACCCTCGGACGGGAGCGCCGCCGCGCTTCCCAAGCGGCGCACTATCCATTGCGCCACCGGGCCGGCCCTAGAGGGCTTGTTAAAGCACAGATTGTGGGGCTCCATTCCTGGAGTTTCTGATTCAGTAAGTCTGGGGATGGGACCTGAGAATTTGTATTTCTAGCTTGTTTCCTGGTGGTGCTGATATTGCTGCTCAAGGGGAAGGGGACTTTAGCCAGAGAATGGCCATCTTTGGGTAACTAAGACTAAGCAGAAAATTTCAGTTAGCCATTAACTTAAGATCTGATACTCATCACTTAGGAATTGATAATCATCAATTCCTCCAGGTTAGCAGAGAACTGAGAAACTGATCATATGGCTGAAAGTGCTTGGAGATGAAATCATGGCCCAAAAGGATCCTTCTCCAAAGTTTATTTCTGTTTATGTCCCATTACACCCTCTTATGCTGATTTACCTAAAATGCTGCACACCTACAATTAAGAATTGAAACTAAGTTTTCTTGTTTTTCTTATGTTTCCTAATCAATTGCAAACAAAGGAACTCCAAGAGAAAGGCAAAGCACCCTAGCTGATTATTAACTCACCTTCTTGCTTAAAGGAAAATTGCACCCACATTAGTTAGAGGTACAAGTCATGTATTTTTATGTTCCATTGATCCTTGACGGAGGTTACCCTCTTTGAGCTCTCTTTAGGAGATCTGACCCCAAAATAACCTCAAGGGTTTGAAGCTGATCAGTGCATCAACTCTAGACTCCACGATGCCAAAGCACTCAGTACAACATGGGACACTGACATCTTCTCACTCAGATCCTCTGCTGATCCAAAGACCAGTCTCCCCCTTTGCCTGCAAGACAAAATCCTTACCTCACCTTCCCATCTCTTCCCCTTTATACACCCCAGAACAGGCATCAGGATGATTTTACCCTGGCCATCCCCCAGATGCCAATTATCTGAATAAACCTTCCAATCCTTGAACCAACTGTTGGACTTTCAGATCATTTGTTTAGTGCAAGAGGGCAAGCCAAACCTGTTGCCAGTAACAAAGGGACCACACTTTATGAACCATTTTTTTTTTTCATGTCAGCAACATATCTCTTGGAATATTCAAATAGTTTCCTGATTCTCATCCATTTCCTAAAGTGCAATCAGAGTTAGCTTCCTAATTTTACCTGGAAATATTTATTGGGTACCAGATACTACATTAGGCATTGAGGGTGTAATAATGAGCAGAACAGATAAGAATCCTGATGTCACAGTCACAGGGAGTTTGCCTGGAACACTTCTTCTTTTTTTTTTTTTTTTTTTTTTTAAAGATGACCGGGGCCGGCCTGGTGGCGCACTGCTACAGTGTGCTGCTTGGGAGCGCGATGGCACTCCTGCCGAGGGTTCGGATCCCACATACAGACCGCCCGCTCACTGGCTGAGCGAGGTGCGGGCGCAACACCGAGGGTTGCGATCCTGTTGCCGGTCCCGGTCCGGTACGGGCGTGACACTGAGGGTTGCGATCCGTTGCTGGTCACGAAAAAAGACAAAAAGGAAAAAAAATAAATAAAAAAAATAAATAAATAAAGATGACCGGAAAGGGGATCTTAACCCTTGACTTGGTGTTATCAGCACCACACTCTCCCAAGTGAGCCACAGGCTGGCCCACACTTTCTTCCTTTGTTGAACACCAAGTAATAATGCTCTCCTTCCCATAGGTATAAAATACAGAGGTAATTAAAATTCTGTTCCTGTGATCAGCTCACAAAATGGTCAGGCCAGCTCTGTGTTGTTGTTTTTTTTGTTTGCTTGTTTTTTAAGATGACCAGTAAGGGGATCTTAACCCTTGGCTTGGTGTTGTCAGCACCATGCTCAACCAGTGAGCAAACTGGCCATCCCTATATAGGATCCGAACCCATGGCCTTGGTGTTATCAGCACCGCACTCTCCAGAGTGAGCCACGGGCTGGCCCCTCAGCTCTGTGCTCTTTGATTTTGCTCCGTGAAGTTGTTTGTGGGAATAATTAAAACTCCAGCTTGTTCTTAATATCAAGATAAGATCAGAAAGGCCTAATGGATATTGGGTAAGCAGGAATATGGGAGAAAATGAAATAAGATTCTTTAGCTCATTCTTCCAGTTTTGTAAAACCCTATAAAACCATTTCTTCATCCGTAGAAGGGTGGGGCAGCAGGAATGGCTTTGAAATGCTTAGTAAGTCCTGCCCTCCTCCTGTGAAGGTCTTTTTTTTTTTTTTTTAATTTTTCTGCCTCTACCCATAGGACCAGACCTAGCAAGAGTGAAAGCCAAGTTGTTCTGGGCATAGTTTTACAGAAAAATCTTCACCTCTATCAATCACAACCATTTTTTTTTTTTTCTGAAAACCCAACTATTTTATTTATTTTTGTCAAACTTTCTTTTATTATTTTATTATTTTTATTTTATCAATATACAATGTAGTTGATTTTCTTGTCCCTTTACCGATTCCTCCCTCCTCCTTTTCTCTCCCCCCTCCCACCCATCAACATCATTTCTGTTCACTTGTCTTAACAAGTTCAAGGAATTGTAATTGCTGTGTCTTCTTCCCCGCCCCACTCTTTGTTTGTGTATTTATTTATTTATTTTTAGCTCCCACAAATAAATGAGAACATGAATAACAAACATTTTTGTCTCTCTTTCTTTTTACTCTTTCTTAAGGGTTTCAAGTTTACTTTTTGGGTGGGCAGAAGAGCCAAAATTTTGCTAATCTAAAACTCATTGGTTGTGATTTCTTTTTCTTTTCTTTTTTTTTTTAAGGATGACCGGTAAGGGGATCTTAACCCTCGACTTGGTGTTGTCAGCACCATGCTCAGCCAGTGAGCTAACCAGCCATCCCTATATGGGATCCGAACCCGGGGCCTTGGTGTTAACAGCACCGCATTTTCCCGAGTGAGCCACGGGCCAGCCCTGGTTGTGTGATTTCTTGAATGTACAGGATAACTTCTTGTTCTAATCAAGGAAAGTGGAGTTAAAATAGAAGGTCCTGTCTTTTCTCACAGTACTTTGAATTCTGTCCTCAAAACATGGTACTCTCTTGCTCATGTATCTTCAGGATGGTAAGCTAGAGTGTGTGCAGCAGGCTGCAGAGGTTGATAGCTTTTTTTAGAATTCGATTTTCATCTTAGGGCCAACAGAAACACCATAAGTTCAAACTATGGAAGGCTTTAAACTGGGGAAAGACAAGGATGAGGTGTGCATTTCTGAGCCATCTTTTTGGTTGCTATGTGGAGAAGGTAACTACAGGCAGGAAGACCAAAGAGAAGGCAGTTGCAGTGATTTGCAGTGATCCTAAGGAGAAGGAATGGTGGCCTGGATTAAAAATATAAATGGGAGGATGAGAAAGTATAAGTGTTCTTGAGATATGTGATGGTGCCCGGAGTAGCTCAAGGAATTTTTTCCAGAGAGAGACAGGGAAGAATCAAGGATAATACTGAGATTTTTATTTTTATTTTATTTATTTATTTTTTTAAAAAGATGACCGGTAAGGGGATCTCAACCCTTGGCTTGGTGTTGTCAGCACCACGCTCAGCCAGTGAGCAAACCGGCCATCCCTATATAGGATCCGAACCCGTGGCCTTGGTGTTATCAGCACCGCACTCTACCGAGTGAGCCACGGGCTGGCCCCCTGAGATTTTTATTTTAAGGAACAGAGCAGACGTTGAAGCTATTCTCTGAGACAGCCAATACTGGGGGGGAAGTTTGAAAATGAACATGATGCATTCAGTACCGACATGTCGAATTTGAGGTAGCCGTGGGACATTAATTCAATTGATCACATTACTCTAAGTGTTAAATTCTTCCATTAGCTCACTATTGCTGAGAGGAAAAATTCCAGGTTTCCTAAGAAGACTTAGAATTTGTGTTTTCCAGCTTCATCTCTCCCATCTATCCCCACCCACAGTTGCCCAGCCTAAACTCAATTTTAGCTCTTCAAAGGGGTAATGCTCAATGTAGTCTCAGGGACATTGCACTAGCCGTCCTGTTAGGAACTATTTTCTTCTTGCAGTGCATTCAGCAAAGAGATAGTAAGGGCCAGGTAAGTATTAGGAGCTGGGATAAAATGGTGAGCAAAAGAAGACATTTTCCCTTCCCTTGTGGAGATTATAGTATAATGGCAAGGTTAAACACTAATCAAATAATTACACAAATAGGAAAAAATTGCAAATGAGATTAGAGCTGCTAATGGAAGGTACCAACTAGGAACGAGAGCCTATAATGGGGTTTTGACATAGGGAAGGCTTGCCTGAGAAAGCGAAGAGTTGATGCAGAGGGAGAGGAAAGAGCTTTCCAGGCTGGGAGAACACCCCTGTAGAGGCGTGTAACTTGGCACATTATGGGAAACTAGAGAAATAGGCACTTTTCCTAAGACATCCGGAAAAGGGTGGGGGTGGGGGGGAAAGATATCTAATTTGTCCCATAGCAGGTGCCATCCAGCGGCAGGTGGTTGCGGCCTCGTCGCAGTGATCACTGGGAGTTGTAGTCCCGACCCGAGCAAGCAGGCATGGCGGCCTGCGTTGTAGGGGGCTGCGGGGTCCCAGTGGGCCTGGCCCGGCGCTTCCAAGCCGCCAGGACACTACTCCGTGCGTCGGCCTCTGTCGCCTGCCGTAAGTGGAGCGGGGCTTGCGAGCTGGGGCGCGGGAGGGGCTCAGGGCCGAGCTCGGAGAGGCGAGCCTGGAAGTCGGGGGCGACTGCGGCTTTGGTCACCGGTGCGGGTTGGGGGAGATGCAGGCCCCGGAGTTCTGACCTCCGTCGTCCGCTTCCGCAGGGGTAGGCGCGGCGCCGGGCCGTCAGCAGAGCACGGGGCCTTCCGAGCCTGGCGCGTTCCAGCCGCCGTCGAAACCGGTCATCGTGGACAAGCGCCACCCCTCGCGGGCCCCGGAAAGGAGGTGAGGCCGGCCCTGGACAAGAGGCGGCGAGTCGGGCTGTGCGCGAGTGCACGAGCGTTTGCCTCCGAGGTCTCGGCCGGGGCCGGGACTCCCACAGCACCGGCGCGTGTGTAGCGCTTGTCAGCCCGCGTATGTGAAGCGCGCCCGACTCAGTTTTGCTTTACTCGCTCTTCCTCGCGGCCGCGTTGAACTCTCCTGCTGTTCTGTTAAGTCAGAACTTCACGTAGGGATTCCCTGGGTTTGAAGCTTTTTTCTCCGCCTGTGTGCGTCCTATACTAGGATTTTTCTCTGAAGCACATCCTGTTGATACCTGTGTACGTTCAGGAGCAGAAATTCTCTCGCAAAACACTAAGCCCGGGTGGAATGGACTGGCCCACACTCACGGTGTATCAGGCGGGAATTCTTGGCAGACGTAGTGAAGTGGTAAAAAATCTCCACCAGTTTTGTGTCTGGAATTTGCTCTTCAAAACAGTATGAAAAGGGGGCTGGCCGGTTACCTCGCAGTTGGTTAGAGTGGGGTGCTTATAACGCCAAGGTCAGAGGTTCAGAGCCCTGAACCCGCCAGCCGCCAAGACAACCCCCCCCCAAAACCCAAAAACCAAAAAAAGCGTGAATAAAAACCTGGTTCGCTGAATTTAAATGGCCCAAGATTTGTGTCAAGTGTATCTGTAGAGACGTGTAACAGCCTCTTTTAAAAAGCCAATTTTAGGGCCAGCCCGTGGCTCACTCGGGAGAGTGCGGTGCTGATAACACCAAGGCCCCGGGTTCGGATCCCATATAGGGATGGCCTGTTCGCTCACTGGCTGAGCGTGGTGCTGACAACACCAAGTCAAGGGTTAAGATCCCCTTACCGGTCATCTTTAAATAAAAAAAAAAAAGAAAAAGAAAAAGCCAATTTTAGGTAGAACAATTTGTGATTATTGGGTTTGGAAGGTGTTGTAGGTTGTTGATTGGATTATCTCTGGGAATTTAAAAAAATTTTTTTAAAAGAATATTCTGTTGTTCCAAATTTAAATAGACTTGGTTTTAGGGAACCTAAAGATTCAGAGAAGATTTTCTTGTACTACTTTTTTCATTTTTTAATGTTTGTTTTGGAGGCTGGTCAGTAAGGGGGATCCGTTTCTTTTCTTTTTTTTTTTTTTTTTTCTTAAGTGGAAAGATATGTCTGTCTTAAGGGGCAGCATTTAATAAAATTCAGTTAAATAGGAATGTAAATTGTGTAGTCTGGAAAACAATTTAGTGAAATTTAGTAAACTTGAAGTTGTGTATACCTTTGCACCCAGAAGGTACACAACTTAGACTAACAAGTATGTACAAGGAGACACATACAAGAATGAACATTAGGTAGTGTATACACTTAACTACCCTGACTTGATTATTATACAACATATATATGTATTGAAACATCAGATTGTACCCCCGAAATATGTACAATTGCAATATGTCAATTAGATTAAAAAAAAAAATAATGAACATAGCAGTATTGTTTGTAACAAACAAAAATTTAGATATGGTTTAGATATTCATCATTAGGTTGCTGGACAAATATGAGGGGTCTTTTAAAAGTTCTTGGAAAGATTTATATTATCTTTTAATTCCATTTTTCCGCTAACTTTTTGAATTACCTTCATATGTATAATGGAATATTATACAGTAGTGAAAAATNAAATTATTGAGGAATGAAATGCCTTGCTATTTGACATTTTCAAATAATTTAGGAAAAAAATTAAATGTTAATATAAAGCAGGTATCAAAATTTTCAGAGTAGAAAATTGAGGAAAAGAAAGGAACTCATAGGAATTAATCACCAAATTCAGGATTGTAATTAACTGTAGAGAGTAGGGAGGGATGCACAGTGGCTTCAGCTGTATCGATAATTTATTTCTTGAGGTGGATGGTAGGAACAAACATATTCATTGTAATGTCATTTATTCTTTTCTATAGATTAAATATTTCATAATAAGTTTAAAGTCAGTTAAAGAAGAAAATAGTAGGATTACTTTAAAAAAAATTTTTTTTTTTTTGTGGCTGGTTGGTATGGGGGTCCAAACCCTTGACTTTGGTGTTACAGGGTGGGTAAGATTACTTTTAAAGTCAATTTGCAATTGGTTATTTACATGTTTATATCTATTCCAACATAATTTATTATAATATGTATAGCTCAGTGTGAGGCCTGTGGTTATGGTCATAGACTTTGAAGACTGACAGACATGCCTACATTTAAATCTTGACTTAACAAAT